GAGGTCAGAGCCGGCGGCTCCTCCACCTCAGCCCAACTGGGGTCCCGGCTGCAGCCGCCGCTGCCGCCGCCATCTTCCGCTCCACTAGCGTGTTCCGGGCCGCTCCAGCAGCGCCGCCCCCTCTTTGGCCCCGCCTCTGGCTCCGCCCACGACTCGCAGCCCTAGCCCAAGCCCCGCCCCCCGGGCTCTCTGCCCTATGCGGTCACCGAGGTCGAGCGTGCGCAAAGGGTGCGAATGCAGTGTCTCATAGGAATTGTAGTCCGGGAGTTGTAGTCGCGTTTGACCTGGCTGCCCAGGACCCAGGATTTAGGATTCCCAGGTGTGACACGTAGGTTAAATTATTGAGAATTACAGGTGGGCTGCTTGAGGGTTTTCTCCTCTATTTTAACCATATCTTTTAGAAGCTATTTTAAAAACTAACACCACCATCCCTTTAAATGAAAACCTGAAAGAAACAAGGATTGAGGTCATATATTCTGTAATATACATATTGAGAAACAGTGGTACACAAATCTAGTGACTCTGCCACAATTAATATACTGAAAAGGATTAGGGCGGCAATCTGTTTGGAAAGAAAAGACTTTTGGCATAGTCTTTTTGGAAAAATTGAGAAAATGTTATATGTCCCTTTCAGAGTCAGGGGACAGTGCTGGAGATATAGGCATGGCCAGGCATGTCATACATAAGTGTTTAAAACTTTGCAGATGGTTCTGCCAAATTGAGAGTAAAAATTCCAAGTCCCAAATTTCTTTGTCCCAAATCTTCATTTTCTTGATGGTCCACCCGACTAAGCAGGTCTTCTCCCTGCCTCTGGCTTGACGGCCCAGGGGGTACATGGAGGGCCAAAGACTTGCGAAGATGAGGCCTCATTCTCCTGCCACAGCTGCCACCTCTTCTCATCAAGGGAGCACCCCTTGAAAGGCAGCTATCCTAGTTTGTTCGTTTTTAAAAGCTTTCAGCCCAGGATCCAGTTTGCAGATGGCCTATAGTGGGACTTGTCTTCACAATCATGAATCCAGTTCAATATTGAAGTGGTGAGAATAGATATCCTAATTTTGTCCCTGATCTTAGAAGAGCAAAGCATTCAGTGCTCAATGTTTCATAATTAAATATGGTACTTAAAAAAAAGAAAAATATGCCATTAATTGTAGGAAACAAACAAAAAAAGATCTCAGTCTAGCCCGAAGACATCATGTAGCCTTCTCCAGATATTGACTATTTTTATAAGCAGCTTTCTTTTTTGTATATACATATGTATATATATAACTTGCTTCTGAAGTTATTAAGGTTGAATAACAGCTAAATCTGATGGGGACTTTGTTATCTAATGGGGTTAGCTCACTAAATATACATAGTACCTTTGTATGTGTATATACATTCAGGTTACATACCATGCCCTGCTGGAGTGGTACATAATCTAGCCCCTGCATACCTCTGCCATCCCATTTGATGCCCTTTGCTAACTGGTCTCTAGACATGCTCACAGCAGCCTCAAAACCTTTGCCCTTGCACTTTCTTCTACCCACTAGTATGTAATTCCATTATCTGATTGTCCTGTGTTTTTTGTTGCTGTATCCCCAGAACACACAGTAAATAATTCCATGAATGAATGAAAGAATGGATGAATATTTTACTAGCTTCTAAGTTCCCCAAGGGCAAGGATCATTCACCATTGTATTATTTGCATTTAATGCAAAGCTTGGCACATGGTAGGGAAGTGTGTAAATGTTGAATAAAAGAAGGAATAATAGAGTGAGAACCATAAATAATAAAAGAAAATAATGTTTGTTAAATAAAGAGATGAGTGTATGAATGGGGTTCACAAACAAAAAAAAAATTGAGCTTTGGAGCAAGTAATCCAATTTGGAATAATTTTTAGTTCATTGAAACATAAACATATATCACCCAGGAACATTGGTCCTTTTCCAGAACACTTTTGACAGGACTGTAGTTAACTTTGCGGATTTCCATCTCGTTCTTTAAATGACTTTTGTATATTTTTTTAATATACCTAAAATCCTGCCACCCATCCACTCAACACCCATTATTCCATTACTCTCATTACTGTCATTATTAAATGCTTTTGTACTTCACAGTGTGTGCCAAGCACTCCCTCTATGTTTCTGTCCTCAAGAGTCTTAATCAAAATTGGACTGAATAAATCACTTCACATAGTGAGTGGCATTTTATCAAATATATAGACAAAAAATGTTTATTTGCTGGATAAAAGGTATAGCAATTGCAATAATGCAATAGCATCTTGTTATTTTTCATGGCACAAGAATTGGAGAGTGTCCAGAAGAGGAGGTGATACCTCTCGGATTCCTCTGCTTGGCATTTATGTCTCTGCCAGCTGTGCTAGAGGTTGTTCTTTCAAGCACACACACTACTACCAAATTCCAGCCAGCCTGTCAGGTAATTCTACCCCAAGGACAAGCTTTTTAAAGTAGCATGTCAACCCCTCTTCTGTGCCTTGCCAAACTCCTTCAAATTGCTTGTACTTTTCATTTTCAGGGTCAGGGCATATGTTACCTAATTTCCATGTCAGTCACAAAAACCAGTTGGATGAGAGGAGTAGGAATTTAAGATGTGACTCTAAAGTTGATAACCCCTGCTCTGATGGGTCTGCTGTTTTCACAGTTAAGTGATATGAGTGCCTTAAGTTTCTAGCAAATGAGTTTCCTGCAAATGAGTTGCTCACTGAAGCGGCGTCACCAAAGCACACTGTGAACTACAAACGGAATCCTTTCTCAAAGCTCCTTTGCACTTTTTGGAAAGGAGAGGAAACAAGGCCTCAGGTTCCCCTGAATCATTTATTCCAGAGCCAGCTCTGAAGTTTCACCATTGTGGGGAAGCCAGAAGAGGGTACTTTGACAAACACCTCCCCTGCCCTCCCTCAGGAGCACAATTCATGTTTGACGTTTTGCTAGACTTAAAAAGCCCTGAGTTTTTTT